GATTCAGAAGTCCATGGTATCCCCTGTCTACCGCATGTGGACTTTCAGACTATTCTTCATAATATACTGTTTTTATCACAAAAAATTGATCATTTTTGTGATAAATAAGCTAACGAGACAGCTTGTCTAGAAAGGAGAACAATGAAAATTGCTGCCAGGAATTTTTTCTAAAAGAGTAATGCGGAAAATTCATTAGACAATGAGTGTTTTTCATTTAAAGATATTAGAGATTCATAGAGAAAACATTTTGTTAACTGAGTATTTTAATCAATGCATTATACAATAGAGACTATACATGTATGTTATATAAATGGTGGCCTTGTTATATTGATTGTTTTGCTGTGTAATTCTACCATAAATGCAACAAATATATCTTTTTACTTAATGAAAATTTCGCTTACGTCAGTTTAAATAGTAAATGTATGTAATGGAAATGTATATATCATGACTGAAAGAACTTTCACAAGTAATAACATTTGGTCTTTTGTAATTATGTTAAATGTCATCACTGGTAGATCTTTTTTTTATTAGTTCGTCTTGAAAGATATCTGTAACATATTTGCTTGTTCTTTTAAGATTGAATTATAGATAATTTTCTGAATCTGAACCCAGTGTGATAGAAAGATTAATGAGCTTATTGAAACCAAACCTTTTATCCCTCATCTCTAGATTTGGATCTAATGACTATATGTATGGATTAACCAAACCAACCACACTATTTAGAATTTTGTAGCTAATATGACCTATTTTACTCTACATATGGGTTAATCCAGTAATGGTAAGTGAGTGCCTGTTGACTTTGATAATTGTTGTTTTAGTAAAGTCATGATTGTAACTTCCTGAATTATGTACGTTACACCCTAATGATGGTTGAGCTTGAATTTCGTCAAAATCGGACGAAAACTGCTTGACAAAATGGCCGCCTCTTGTACGCAAATAGTGTAAAAATATGGTATATCAAGGTTGTGGACCCTCTAGAAATCAGTTTTTATTGTCGTCGCCCCCGTCCGTCCACCCGTCCGGCGTCCACAATTGCTTGTGGACGCTCTAGAGGCTAAAGTTAATATCCGATTGATTTTAAATTTATATACAGTGTTTAAGGCCATGAGACGAAGAAGCCTTTTGATTTCCGATAATTACTGCCAGAGTTATGGCTCTTGATCACTTCAAAAAATCTTGTGGACGCTCTAGAGGCGAAAGTTAATATCCGATTGACTTTAAATTTATATACAGTGTTTAGGGCCATGAGACGAAAACGCCTATTGATTTTCAGCGATTTCCGATAATTACTGCCAGAGTTATGGCCCTTGATCACTTCAAAAAATCTTGTGGACGCTCTAGAGGCCAAAGTTAATATCCTATTGACTTTTAATTTATACACAGTGTTTAAGGTCATGAGACAAAGAAGCCTGTTGATTTTCAGCGATTTCCGATAATTACTGCCAGAGTTATAGCCCTTGACCACTTCAAAAAATCTTGTGGACGCTCTAGAGGCCAAAGTTAATATCCGATTGACTTTAAATTTATACACAGTGTTTAAGGTCATGAGACGAAGAAGCCTATTGATATTCAGCGATTTCCGATAATTACTGCCAGAGTTATGGCCCTTGATCACTTCAAAAAATCTTGTGGACGCTCTAGAGGCGAAAGTTAATATCCGATTGACTTTAAATTTATACACAGAGTTTAAGATCTCGAGACGAACAAGTATATTGATTTTCAATGAATTTTTATGACTTGGAACAGCTAAATTCATGATACAGTATTAAAAGTTTTGTATACAAAACGTAAGCATGGGGCAGAACTTTATAAAAACCAAACAAATTCTAATGGTTTTCTGAGTTGTTGCTCTTAATCAGATTTTAGTGTATTATAAATGTTTTATTACTGAAAAAAGTAAAAATATGCGACAACTCTTGTTGACGGCCCGGACGATTTAGCTGCTGTGGGCGTATGTTTTGTTGCCTGGCAACCTATCTTTATCCGATTTGGATGAAACTATAAATATATGGTTCCTTTTGATAATCACTTACATATCTGAACGTAACTTCCTGGATTATGGACCCTGATTAGTCGAAAAATCGTGCTCTTAGCTTGTGGTCCCTCAAGAGGTCACAATTTTTATCCGATTTAAAAAAACGTTTTAGTATATTACCGTTACTCCCTAATGATGGTTGAGTTCGAATTTCGTCAAAATCGGACCAAAACTGCCTGACAAAGTGGTCTCCCCTTGTATGCAAATAGTGTAAAAATATGGTAAATCAAGGTTGCGGACCCTCTAGAGATCACAGTATTTATCCGTTTTGGAATGGGATAAAACCATGAATTTATGTTTTTATCATAAAGATCTTGGTTCCTTTTGATAATCACACATATCCGAACGTAACTTCCTGGATTATGGCCCCTTATTGGTCGGAAGATCGCATTTTTAACTTGTGGATTCTCTAGAGGTCACAATTTTTTATCTGATTTTAAAACCGTTTAGATATATCACCATTCCACCATAATAAAGGTCAAATTGGAATTTCGGGAAAATCAAAATGAAACTGTCCAACAAAATGGCTGCTCTTTCTACGCAAATTGTGTATAAGTATAATATAAAGGTTATGGACCCTCTAGAGGTCACAATTTTTATCTGATTTTGATGAAACTTAAAACATATCTTTATATTCCAAAAATCTCAGTCCCTTTTGATATTTGCACATTTCAGACCATATTTTTCTGGATTATGGCCCATGATTGTACAAAAAGTCGTTTTTGTTTTTAGCTTGTTCTCTATTAGTAAGTGCAGGGGGACTGCACCACACATAATTTACACAAAAACAAATATATGGACAAGATATAATACGCAGAAACCACAAACAAACGAACAATTCAAATAAAGTGAATGGATCCGGGGTCCAGCCACAAGTGTCCACTGCGCTGTACAATCCCAGCCTGTAGTAACACAGACCTCACTGAAACTTGTAAACAATCAGGAATATAACCCAAAGAAACCATTGTGTAATGCCAGCATGAGTCATGATCTGCTATATATATCAAGAAATATGAATGTAAGCATATTGAAGTAAAATTTAACTATACAAGTAACCACATCGGTGAAATGTATAAAAAAACAGGATGTCTAACACTAATTTTAATGCTCAAAGTCAATTAAGAATCAGTTTAGTATTCAATAGAATCGAGGCATATTGAATACAGTTAGGGCACATGTTCCACCCATCACAGAGCAAAAAACAAACAAATACTGAATATAAAGAAGCAAATGAGAAAATGTAGACTGTCTCGAAAGACAGTCGTCTGCTGAACTGAATGACATGACGGAAAAAAGGCGATATGTTGCCAATGACGTCAAAATTTAGGTGAATAAAAAAACACCACAATATCTATATCTCTTACAAAGTGTGGGCGTATCCTGCCTGGTAGCCGCTGGTTTAAATAGCCAGGGACTAGATTGTTCAGGTACTTGTAGACCATGACAAGGTGCTCGAATTCAGCTGTACTTTTACTGGTAGGATGTGGAGTTCTTTGAGTGCAGCAGTTGAGCTTGAGTATTTAGATACACCAATTATCATTTTGGTGGCCATGTATTGGACTCTTTGAAGAGGAGGTAGTAGAGACTGACTGTGAGATTGACATAGACACAGTTACAATAGTCAATATGTGAAAGCACTATACATAGAGCATTTACTGATAACTGAACTATGGAAACTTGCAATTGTACATTCTTAATTAACATTACTAAAGTAAGCCTGCTGTAGATCTATTTATAAAGTGTTATGTTTGCAATGCTTCTGGTTTAATAATTAACATGAATATGTACAGATTAAGATAATGTTAGCACACTTACTTACTGTATTTACAGGTCGTTCATTATTGCTGAGTGTGGAATTCTTTGGGGAATTATCACTGATTTTATTTTTATTCACCTACTTGTAATACAGTCGTATAGTGTCAGTCCTCCAAAATTGTCTTGTGAACAGTCTTGAAAAAAGTTATCGTCCAAAAATTTTGAAATATATATGTGTTGTTTACTTAAGACGATGATTTCCGAAGATTGAATGTTTTCCTGGATAGCTCGGAAAGTTAAGATCTTATGCACTTGATAGTAGTGCTATTTGTCATTTGATTGCCTTCAATTTTGATGTGTATTTTTAGATAAGAAAGTCAAAAAAGCCTAACAAATTTTAGTGTTTTTACCCTTCTTTATATCTTAGAATCTTGTGAAAGATCTTTGGTAAAAGTTTTCTTCCAGTTTTCTTCAAGTTTATATAAATTGCTTTATAATAATGAGATGATAAAGTTTCAACTATTTTAGAGTTATATTGTCCTTGTTTAACTTTAAGAATCTTTTAAGTGCTCTAGCAGCAACAGTTATAATGTGAATAAACTATAAACATACTTATGGAAAACAGCTACTGATTTATTTAGGCGACGTTTCGAAGAGTATTCTCTCAACGTTTTCAAGCTAATACAATATAACAAAATTTGAGGCAAGATATATAGACAAAATTACAATAACAAGGTTGAAACCATACATGACAACAATAAGATCAAAGGCCTATGACACAATGGGGTTATGATATACAATAACAAGATAAAAGGGACTAATTAACTTATAGTGGTAATGGTGATGTGTACATAATCTAAGTGTTTGTGATAGCGATTTTCGGTGTTTACACAATAATATGTACACCACTTTGAAAAAACATAGAAAGCACAATGTGATTTACTTGAGATTTATGTTGATTGGTAAGATTAACAACATAGGGAAGCACCTTTCTTTTTTGAAATATTGTAGACAAATCAAATTATAGAAAGTGACAACCATTATGGACTGCTTGATTGTTTTGTATGAAATAGCAGTTTATGCGTCAGTGCAGAACTGTCTAAAGTAAGTCTACATTCTACAAGTTCCATATTCTATTCATTGATGACCAATATTACATCACAGTTATTTTATATCTTTTCCTAAAATTTAGCATTTTTTTTATTCACAGGTTCTTGGAAAGAAAGTATGAGTGATGACTGCCATATCAGATCATGAAAATACGAGTGTACAATGTAGTGGATGGAGAAATCTTCTCTTATCAGTTACCTCTCTTGATTGGAGAAATAGACAACTCCACGGATGATGGCGTCATCTACGTGCAGAACCGAAGTGATCCTCATGGACAGAAGTTGGAATGGCCAGTTGTCGAGGGATGTTTTAAAGTTCTGGTGTATCTTAAATCTGGAAATAATACTATTAGTCTGCTATACGAGGATGAAATTGTAACATTGAAATTAGTGCACGAGGATCCCCATTTTGTTAACTTTGTCCGCCCTGTATATGTGATGTGTTCCGACGACGATGGATATTTTCAAGGCCCTGAATCAACTGATTGCTCACCAAATAGTGCCCTCCGTAGAATAATATTTGGAGCAGAGTTAATCCAAACATTTACTGCTGAAAAAATGAAAGAACATGGTTTTGGGAGATCGACTTTTCAATTAGAAAAAGATGTTAATAATAATCATATATGTCATTTATTACGAAGCAAATTAACTTTAGAAAAGGCCTACGCTATGTCCGGTAATGAACTGTGGAGTTACTTTGCCAAGGAATTAATGTCCAGTGATTTAAATGATAAAGATAAGTGTAAATGGTATTGTTTTATGTCATTTACTCGTTATAATCCACCAGATAATGCAGAGATTCCTAAAACACACAGCGAAATACTCAAATATACGAAAGGTCACACAGCTTTAGGTAAGCTAACAGTTTTTCTTCCAAAAGTTAATCACGTTCATGACATTCATGTGGCAAATCTAATATGAATGATTAATATAATATCAGTATATAGCCAAAGGCAGAAAGTCTCATGTTTTCATTTCTGAAAGAAATCCAAGGGATATTTGACGACTGAAACTCTGGAGCCTTATTCAAGAAAAACTAAGTCTCTTAAAATTGATTCTAAATTCTAAAATCTTATCTTAGTTAAGATTTCGAGAAACAGGGTCCTGTATTTAAGGTGTTATGCAAAGTGACCTAATCCACAAAAATAATGTACTCAACTAAGCTAAAGTCTGCACTACAAAACCAACAATTTGTAACACATGTGTTATTTGAAATTTCTACTGAGTGAGTTACCTTAGCAATATTTATCAAATTTTATTTATTTCTGGTAATTACTTCATGGGCTGTTGCCCTTGTCTGTGACCTGTTTTTTTTTTAGTGTCATGTAAATGCTCCCATAATTTAATTTAATTTAATAGCCTTTATGACTGTTGTTAGGATGACTTGGCTGCTGTGGGCGTATATGTTTTCTTACCCGATAACCTATCTTTTTTTTATTGAAAATTGATCTTGATGTGATTACCAAGGTGTTTGAGTGTGATGAAGCAATAGATAAATGGGATATTTGGTAAAATGAAGGCATATCCTTCCTACCTCATGTTAGTCATGTCTTAATAATGAAGTGGTATTTTGGAACACCATATGCATTAAAATGCATTAATAAACTAGAATGCCTACTTTTAGAATCGTATTTAGTCATTGTGGTTACATGCTAATTATTAAAATTTTTTAAAAAAAAGTATTGCTTTAAAAGCCATTCGTCATCATTTGAAGGATTTGAAATCCCTTCCAAACTACAGTATTGTGAAAGTTGGATCTCTAAAAGGAATATTAGTCCAAAAATGGTTCAGTTTTGTTCAGTAAATGTTGTAAATGTTTTGATGGGCCTCTTTTTATCCAAGCTAGGAGATTATCTGCCGTTGATATTTGGTTAATGTTTTCTTCATTAAATTTTATTGAATTAATTTGGATACATTTTGGTTTGGAATAAGCTGTGAAAATGCAGATGAAAATGGGCGACTTTAAAATATACAAAATTAAGTCCCTTTCTTGCTAAAATAAAAATTTCCATGTAACCTGTAACCTGAATTCTATTTTTTGTCATGTGAAGTTCAATTTTGTTTTTTTTGTCAGAACATTTATTCTTTGGTCAGGAGTCGTAGTAGCCTATGGTATTATTAGGATACATCTGCATAACACCATCCAGTTGATTTTAAGATATACATGTAACTAATGCCTCAAAGACTACAAAAATTTTATCTCAAAATAATTTCATATTGTACTGTAGTAAATATGATTTTTTTTGTCATGAAACAGATGTCTCATAAATTAATTATTCAGTTTGTACATTTTGGTGCATCATAGATACTTGACAGTAGCAATTACTTTTTGCTTGATATTTTTGTGCCATAACAGTAATTGTAATCATTTGTTTTTATTTTATTCAGGAGGGGGTGGCTTAGCCTTATTTGGAACGGGAAATCTACACACATGGGCAGAAGGCTTAGATCAGCTCTACTCTAAGTTTACTGATTGTCGTAAAATAGATAGACGAAAATTCATGGATGATAGTGCTTACAGGTAATTTTTTTAAAAAATTCAAAAACATTAAAACAATATGTAGATGATTCACAGTCATCTTTAAATTCAAAATATGTAACATAGTAAATTACAGTTGACATGATTTGTATAAGCTAATTGAGAACATCTGAGTATAAAAAAAACAAAACCCCAAAGTAATGGTACATGTACATGGGTTGCATTGTATGAAAAAGATGACAGAATTATTGTTTAATTTATATGCCTCAGATGCATGAAGATGGCAATGTGAAATTATAGAAACTTATGTGAAATTCAAATATCCTTTTTATACGCCCACATTGAAATGTGGACGTATATTGCCGTCGCCCCCGTCCGTCCTTTCTGTCGGTCCATCTGTCGGTCCGTCGGTCCGTCCATCCGCCCATCGTACACAATTTCTTGTGAACGCTCTAACGCCAAAAGTTATCATCCAATTGTTTTAAAATTGATATATGTTGTTTACATTAGTGAGATGAAGAAGCCTATTTAATTTCAATAATTTCCGTGTATTACGTCTAGAGTTATGGCCCTTGTTTCACTTTGTTGAACCTTGTAAAGGCTCTAATGCCAAAAGTTAACATACGATCTTTGTGAAATTTATATGCAATATTTAAATTAGTGAAACGAAGAAGCCCATTGAATTTCAACAATTTCTGTTTATTACGTCTAGAGTTATGGCCCTTGTTTTACTTTATTGAACCTTGTGAACGCTCTAACTCCAAAAGTTATCATCTGATCTTTCTGACATTTACATGCATTATTTAAATTAGTAAAACAAAGAAGCCTATTGAATTTCAGCAATTTCCGGTTATTACGTCTAGAGTTATGGCCCTTGTTTCACTTTATTGAACCTTGTGAACGCTCTAACTCCAAAAGTTATCATCCGATCATTCTGAAATTTACATGCATTATTTAAATTGGTGAAACGAAGAAGCCTATTGAATTTCAGCTATTTCCGTTTATTACGTCTAGAGTTATGGCCCTTGTTTCACTTTATTGAACCTTGTGAACGCTCCAACGCCAAAAGTTACCATTCGATCTTTGTGAAATTTATATGCATTATTTAGATTAGTGAAACGGAGAAGCCTATTGAATTTCAGCAATTTCCGTTTATTACGTCTAGAGTTATGGCCCTTGTTTCACTCTATTGATCCTCTAACGCAAAAAATTATCACCCGATCTTTGTGAAATTGATATGCATGATTTAGATTAGTGAAACGAAAAAGCCTATTGAATTTCAGCAATTTACAATAATTACTTCTAGAGTTATTGCCCTTGTTTCACTTTGTTAAACCTTGTTAATGCTCGATTGATGATAGTTATCATCCGATATGTATGAAATTTATATGCATCATATAAATTTGTGAAACAGGTCTATTGAATTTCAGCAATTTCCGTCAATAATTTATGGCGATTGTGAACGTTTGAATGACAAAAGTGATCATGTGATCTGTATGAAATTTATATGCATTATTTAAATTAGTAAAACGAAAAAGCCTGTCAAATTTCAACAATTTCTGTAGATTACTTCCAGAGTTGAGACCCTTGTTTCAGTTTGTAGAACCTTGTAAACCCTCAAACGACAAAATTTATAATCTGATCTGTATGGAACTGTCTTGTAAAGGCCCCCAATTACCTACAAAGGAATAAATATGCGACAACCCTTGACGACTGCTCGGACGATTTAGCTGCTGTTGGCGTATGTTTTGTTGCCTGGCAACCTATCTTAGAATTGATTAATTACTTTTCATTTTTATACTCCCACATTTTCATGTGGATGTATATTTTCGTCGCTCCTGTCCATCCGGACGTCCACAATTTGTTTGTGGACTCTCTGCAGGTCACAATTCTTATCCGATTTTGACAAAACTTGAAATATAGGTTTATTTCCAAAAGATCTCGGTTCCTTTTGATATTGGCATGTATCGGATTGAAACTTTATGGATTATGGCTTATGGACAATCTAGAGGTCACAATTTTCATCTGATTTTGTTGAAACTTGAAATGCATGTTTATAACCCAAAGATCTTGGTTCCTTTCGATATTCGTGCATATCGGATCTTAACTTCCTGAATTATGGCCCTTGATTGTACGAAAATCTCGTTTTTAGCTTGTGGACCCTATAGAGGTCATAATTTTTATCCGATTTAAAAAAACCTAATATTACATCACCGTTACACCCTAAGGACGGCTGAGTTCGAATTTCGCGAAAATCTACCCAAAACTGACAGACAAAATGGCCGCCCTTCGTTCTCAAATAGCGTAAAAATATGGTATATCAAGGTTGTGGACCCTATAGAGGTCACAATTTTGATCTGATTTTGTTGAAACTTGAAATGTAAGTTTATAACCCAAAGATCTCGGTTCCTTCGATATTTGCGCATATCGAATTGTAATTTCCTGAATTATGGCCCTTGATTGTAGGAAAAATCACTTTCTTTGTAGCTTGTTTTCTATCCATCTCTCGAAAATGTGAGCGTATCCTGCCTGGCAGCCGCTGGTTATTCTATTTTGATAAAGCTTAAAATATATTTTTATATCCCAAATATCTCAGTCCATTTCGATATTCGCACATTTCAGACCATAACTTCCTGTATTATGGCCCCTGATTGTAGGAAAAATCAGTTTGTTTTTTTCAGCTTGTTCTCTATCCATCTCTTGCAAAATGTGGGCGTATCTTGCCTGGCAACTGCTGTTTAATGGTCTTAAACTCAATATCTAACTTATTGTCTTTTTGATAACATATGTGATGACTCATCAAATTTGTTCCAATAATGACAAGATTTCTTTCAAAACTATGAGAAATTGCAATGGAAAATTACACTCTTGATGATATTACAATCATGTTATTCATAGAATCATACTTATTGTAATGCTACATGTACTTGTATGAAACTTCCTAATTTAGTAAATCACAGTCAACTACATAATAGCAGTTGTAATGTTTATTTTGTATTACCAAGAATACAGTAGCACAGATAAGACCCATCTTTTCATTAGCGAGCTTGTTTCTGGAGGCTATTGAATATAGTGTCTTGAACTCGCATCGCTATACAACATGGAATGAAATGAAATGGGGTTTAACATTTTACTTTTCTGCAAAAACCAGACTATACAACACTGCCTATATTGATCTCAATAAAGTCTAATACATGCTGCTTATTCTAGGCCATAATTTCCTTTAACCATGATAATTCTTGTTATCCTCACTGTTTATATACTCATGATAGGCTTATATTTGAGAAAACTAATTTTATTCTTTGACTCTTTGTATTAAGATTTCCAGATATTGTATGACTCGCAACTCAAGGAATAAAAGAGAAAAAGAACCTGTCTCCACAGGAAATTATATTAGGAATGATGTGAATTTAGTTTTTTTGGGCCAAATTGAAATTCTACCTTTTTTCTTGGCTTTTCAGGAAATTATAGTAAAAATATTTCAGTATCTGTTTTTAAGAGTATTATTTTGCAGAGAAACTATATTTGGATGCAACAGGAGTACAACTTATTTGATTTCGATATATATATAGACTGACTTCGTCATACATGATAGCACATTGGAAGGAGTTTTGAAAAGCAGTGGAAGGGAAACCTAATTTGTATGCATTAGCTTTATTCATTTATTGTCAAGAAAGTACATGTAACACTCCTGTAATTTTTTGAGGACAGAGGCGATTTTTCAGTTTATTTGAGCTAATATATATTCAGTCCCCCCCACGGCCAGCCACCAAAAATTGTTCTTGACATTTTTTTGAAGATAAAGTACAGTTGTCAAAATATGTCTGCCTCAAATAGAATGTCTTATAAATTAGTGGTATGCTTGATTTATTACCAAATTATTCTTAGTAATTGACCGATGAAGTCACTTTGCATTAAGTTGTTTACAAAGTGTCTGGAATTAGATATATTTCTGTCAATTTTCACTGAATTATTCACATATTAATGTTAGAAGGAGGCTAAAATTTTTGCCAATTTTCATCTCAGTGAGGCTCAGACGTGAAAAATCAATAGTGATGATTAATAGTTTTTCGAAAGACTGGATGATAGATATTGTAATTGACTGGAATGACCCTATATCCGATGAAAACATACAAATCTGTCGACTATAAAGCCACCGAGTTGAAAAGACGATCATGATTTACCCACCATTGCATTATTTCCTCCTCAATTGAAGATCAATAGTTAAAAGTTTTCAATTTATTTCTAAATTGCTGTAGTATTATTCTTAAGAGGTTTGCAGATTTCTGAAAATTGGGTAATTTTTGTTCTTAGAAAACTTGACCTTGGAAAAGAAAAGAAACACATTATATCCCCATCAAGTCATGCCTTGATTTGTTTTGACGTTTATTTGTTGGGGAAATGAATAAGTTGCTATTTTTGAAAACACTTGTCCGATAGGGTATTTTCAGCTTGGTCGCATTCTGGAAAGACAGAGCGAACCTAGTGACCACAATTGATTGATCAACTTTTGTATGGTCTGGCAGACGTAAAGATAATTATCTCATCTTAGTTGATTTGCTAAATTCAGATCTCCTGCATGTTGAAGACCTTTCATCTACTTGGTATGGTAGTAGAGCTTTACTAATCACTAGTCGGTTTGCTATGTAAAGTCTGTCTGGGAATCTACATTAAAGAATTGAAGAAATGATAATATTGCAAAGGATTTTGGTTCTTTTTTCTGTAGAAAGCTGTCTGTTTTTAACACTTTCATATGATTAAAGAAAATAGTTTGTTGGACAATATGATTACATGTAGCTATGTCAAAGCTTTACATTAAGAAATTATAGCACATTCCTGTCTAACTTAATGTAAAATCAGGCATATGGATTAAAACATGGCCCATCCACTTCGATTTGAGTAAAAAATAAAATTGATTATTTGATGGAATAGGCGTAATGCGGTTTCACTCCATAGACATCTGACTTCTGATCTGAACAAGGGCAAGGTAAAGTGACCAAAATGGTCACAACTGAAATGGGGGTCCTCAAAAAGACATTCAC